AAGTGCACTAGCCCTAAGTACACTCGCGTCGTCCACCCAGGGGCAACTGCCCCAATACCATACCACCCATACAAACGGAAGAAACACGCACCTTTTTGACTTTCACCTGCCAAAGCAACGCTCATCAAGCCAATCCAGCCAGCTACCATTACCCCATACCACAATACTACTAGTCAAATAAACAAGGCTATAGCCTTTCGAGTGCCCATAATCACTCCCCACATGCCCCTCGGCATGAATTCCATACCCAACGGCATTCCCAGTGTATCAAACACGTACAAGGCTCGGCCTTAACCAGCTGCACTCGCAGCTACAATTTTGCTGACACACGCCAGCTCAGCTCAGGTCAGCTCGCGACCAAGAAACCCCCAGCCCACTTGGGAGCGCATCAAGCTAAAACGCAAAGCAGCCCGAATGACCACACAACTGGAAACCATCCAAGGATGGATCCTGAAGTCTGACATCATACCAATCAGCCAATACTGCCTTTGGGCGGCACGCTAAACCCCACCGCTTCCCATTGAATAACCTGCCATCCTGTGATGATTCGAGCAGCAAAGCGCGATGAGCCCACCCAGTGCGCAGGTTGAGCTGCCACGGGCCTTTGAAAGTGTCTCCCTCCAAAACATCTCCTTCATCATCAGGCTGGGCGTCGCTTGCACAATCCCCTTCACTCTCACTGACCGGCACGCTTGCACACAGCTCATCCCCATCATTACCATCTTCACTTTCAGATTCTGTTGCATCAGCCTCCTTCTGCAAGGGTTTAAGCACGTCTAAATCTTCCTCCACACGCCAAGAGGTCAGCCCACGATTCAAAGGAACATGGGGTTGCCAGCCATGAAGGACACGCTTTAAAATCTTTTGTTGGCAGGCCAGTTGCGGCCAGTTGTCATCCCGTCCGTATTTCTTCACACAGTTGCTGGGGAGGGAATGATGACCCTGCGCTACTCGCAATTCCACTGGCAGGTTGAGCTGGGCAGCCCAAGACAGAGTAGTCGCTTTGCAGCTATGCAAGGTGAATTGCTGCACTTTCTCCAATGACAGACCAGCATACATGTGGATGCAGCGCCGCAGCTGTGAGAGCATTGCCGTAAAAGCCATAGGCTTGCCGGCGTTGGCCATGAGGAAGTCCCTGTCGGGTTGCTCATTTTTTGTTGCAATCAGCCGCTTCCCAAATGTCACACCCCAGTCAGTACCCGTCACCCCAGATACTAAGACACCAAAGCACATCCCCCTGGGCGAAGCTTTCGTCCGCCAGCACTGGCCGCGCAAGGACTCCTTGTCCAGAAGGAGGGTAGAAAATTGTAGACGTTGCGCGTCGCTCCATCTCAATCCCCCTAAATCGTCAAGAGTACGCACCCAATGACTCATTGATCATCCAGATCACAGCTTGCGATCGCATGCTCAAGTTTGGCAACCACAACTAGGGGACGAGGGACTGCTTCCTTCACCGGCGCACATTTCCACTTGTCCTGCGCTAGCCACGTTTTCAATTTGCAGCTGCACCCAGCACCGCACTTTAACCAAGCAGCTGCACTGTACTGCAAGCATCATTCCAGATCCAAATGTGCCAGCACTCATGAGGGTTTGATGTGGGATGGAGATTTTTCTGGATTTTTTCAAAATTTCCGGATTTTTTCACATTTTTTCCCCTACTGTTTGCTTTTGCTTTTTGCTTTGGCTTCTGCTGGGAGTGCAAGGGCAGGGGACGAAGCGCCAAAGCCAGCGTGATGGAGAGAAAGGGAGGGAAACTTTTTGCTTTGGCTTCTGCTGGGAGTGCTTTCCAAGCGCTAGGAGCAGCAGAAAGGGACAGAAAGGGAGGGAACAGAAAAGGTATCCCACTCACTATACGGACTTCTTTGCAGTTGTCTTTGGGCTTCATGGCCCACAAAAGGGTGAGTCAACTTGGAATGGCCACTTCCTTCTCTAAATTTTACCTTCAAGTGGCTCACCAAAGGGTGAGCCAACTTGGGAGGGCAACATCCTTCTCTAAATTTTACCCCTGCATGGCCGTGAGTCAAGTTGAGATGGCAACATCCTTCTCTAAATTTTACCCCTGCATTGCCCACAAAAGGGTGAGTCAAGTTGAGATGGCAACATCCTTCTCTAA